GAGCTTTTATTTTATTAGAAAATAAGCAGGTTAGCTTGTAAATTATATAATTATACAATACACATACTTTTTTTTTTGACCTTATGTTTATCTGTAGATACATTGAACCCATTTGATGTGTCCAGATGAATTATCTTTGTATTAACACCAGCTTCTGTTTTTGTTTACACTGTTTTGCTAGTGGTGATGATGATGATGATGTATTTCCGCTTTGAAAAAAATAAAAAAGTGCACTTTGAAGTTTGGAAGGGTGTGCTTAAATTAATTTGTTCTTTAGTTCATTTTGAGTGTCTCACTGTTGGGTGAAGGGAATAAACGTATATGCCTATTTTCTATTGTGCATCATCCCCTTTGTTCTGTTTATTATATAAGCAGTGAACAGAACTTGCTTGATGCAACCCCCTGAGTGTTGGATTTGTAAGTAATACATACAGCTCACCCTTTGCCTCTATATACATATATATCATGAGTAGTGATAAGCTCCCCTAGAGCCTGAGGCCCCGGGCGCCCGCACCGCCTGCACCGGCGGTAGTTCCGCCACTGGCCATACATACCTAGGACAGTTTGTGGTTGGTTTCACAAACTATATCTAAGTTAGGCTGTCAAATCCGATCCCCATTGAAGTCAATCAGAGCTCAATCTTAGAAATCATGAATGGCTATTTTCTTGGCTAAAAGGCATGGGATTTTCAAACAAAGTGCATGTGGAGCTGGGCACTGCCGGGGGGGACATAAACAATAAAAAATTCTGTTTGTTGAGGAGCAGTGATTTTAATAATGCTTAAAGGACAAAATTAAATATGCACAATTCCTTTAGATTACATGCTCATAGAATACCTGAAATTTACATGCAAAGTGGTGCACCAGTGCAATGTACTGTATATAACCTACTACAGCAAAACTGACATTTCCAAAGATAAAAAATGCTGTTTAAATTGCAGAGGAATGGCAGCTGCTGGCTGCTTCCTTCTGCATGTAAACAAAGTAGTTTGGGATTCCCTTAATCTGCACCAGACTCTTATCCTTTGTTGAGCGTCTGGGATAGATGTTAAGGTGGACCCCAAGCAAAAAATAAATACAAATTTTGTGGGTCAGTAAATGCACCTGATTAACATGCTGATGAGGACAAGCACCTCTTATCCACAACCCTGGCTTGCTGGTTGTGGGAGTCTGTGGTGAGGAAGCTTTTCTAAATCTGCAGTCCCGTTTAAAAATTACAGGGACCCCAGATACCAGCCTACCATGTGAATGGCTAAGGGGTACATAGTCCCCCTACTCATTCACAAAAAATGTAAATAATCAAATTTTTAAAAAAATGTCCTTCAACAAAATGTTCCACAGTGTTAAACCAATCATCAATCACATATCAGGTCCTCGTCCATTATGACAAATGATACCTGCTGACACTCTGAAGGCAAAAAACACCGATCTGCCAACACCTCCCCAATTGATGGAGACTTATTGCAAATGACAGATCCTGGGCCCTGCAGCCTCACAGGAAGCTGAAAGAATGTATTTATTATATGCTGTTTGCCAAACTTCTGAACAAGCAAAACTGGGTCTGAATATTGATTTGAACAGAACCTAGAGCTCATCCCTATATGTGAGATTTAGCATCAAACAATGAGCTTTGTAAGGATTCAGTCCACTCAGCCAAGTACGTTTTAGAGTTTTCTGCCTACTTTTAATCATCCACAACCTCAAAGTAACACAATGTTCTGCCCACACAAGGGTTATTGGGTATAATAATGAGCATAAATGTCTCTCAGTATCCTGGTTATTTGTCGTACGGTTCTGTCTATTTCCTCCTTGAGACAGAGCTGCTTTAGTCTCGGTCACTCTGCTGAACTGGTTCCATCAGCTACCAGACTGCTTATCTGAGACATATCTATCTACTAACACAGGGGTATGGTGTCAGTGATGATCGTACTGTTTCATAACACCACATTAAGCTTAAAGGCACCTCCCAAGCATACATTTGAAAGTATTGGTGTTTTTCCAATGTCATCTATTAATAATATGCGTGTTATTATTCAATTGGCTGTGAAAATCTATAAAGTTTTAATTAGCTATTGCCACACCTTTATGTACATAGTCTAGTGATACTTTTATTTTTTTGGAACAATTTGCATAAGTGTCATACATAATCAAATTAATCTTATTAAATTAATACATTAATTATTCTTTCCCTTTTCAGTAAGATTCTGTCCACCAGTTCAAGTTCAAAGCAATGTAAATGTTTTAACTACTTCATATGATGAAGAGTATTCTGTCGGCCAAGTAATACGATTTGAATGTAAGAATGCTGACCAGAAACTAAACGGTGCATCTGAGGTTTTCTGTACGTCCGAAGGAGACTGGAATGCGCAACCACCAATATGTAAAGGTAAAAATACTGGGCGGGATTCCTAAATACTGGAGCAGACAAAATCTTAAGTAGTTGCCCATGGCAACCAATCAGTTTCTTTGTTTCATTTTCAAAGCTTAGCTGAACAATGTAAATAGAGAAGATGATTGGTTGCAATGGGCAACTGCTCAAGATTCTGTTTACTCTAGTTTTTATAAATGTCCCCTTCTATGTATATCAACAGATGTCTAATATAAAATAATGACTACAAATCAGTAATTACATATCACTAGTCACTAGGCCTGCACATAGAAACATTAGAAACATATCTCCTCATATTGAAAGCTGAAAAGAGTGACATCGTGTAAGCTGGTAAGAAAATAGTGTACAAAGAGAGGTGGAGGGGTGTATTTAGATCATAATGTGTGATTATAGACACCGTAAATTCTGAAATGTTTGACAGTGCAAAAATCCAGTCAATCATTAATGAAAGGAATAGCATGATTACCACCAAAAAGATACATTAAAACAATGCAAAATTATACCAGTATGGTAAAAAGCAATTAATACTGCACAAAAAGTCATCAGTCACTAATACACAGATGATAATTAAGATCTAGTGAATAGGACTAATGCAGAAAGGATCATTGTCCAACATAATCAATTAAAGTGACACTAAGCTCAGGAGTTAAATCTTAAAAATGCATTCAAATACCTTAACTATTAACAAAAATGTATCTTATTTGTGTACATTTTTGTTAATAGTTAAGGTATTTGAATGCGTTTTTAAGATTTAACTCCTGTGTTTAGTGTCACTTTAAGAAGTAGTACATTGATATGGATTTAACAGACACTCAGAAATAAGAATCGTTATAAGAATAAAAGAGGGAACAAAAGAGAGGGGAGGTCACATGGATGACTGTAGAGCTGTAACAATTATTCGATTACGTCGATTAAAATCGATGATGGAAAATGTTGTCAACGTTTTCCATTGTCGATTCGTCAGCTAAAATTAAAATTTCCCGCTTGTTCGCGGCTCCGTACACATGTTACACTACGCATGCCGCGGACACGGCGCCCACCCGCCACGTACGTCACGCCCACCATACAAGCCGGACATACGCCCACAGAGCACGCAGCAGCCGCCGTTGCAGATGAATGAAGGGAAGGTGAGGATCTTCGGAAAGCAAGTAAGTAATTAAGCACTTGCATAGACCTTATTGGGCAAATCTCAGGTGCACCTTAATACATGATGGCTTGAAACCCTATCATCTGGAAATATCTCTGTTCATGACACCCCCCGCCCCACCCCAAGTATAGCAAATTTGTTGATACAGGATTTGGTAAAGTTCTGTTTTAATGTTACCTGTTTAAAAAAAAAAAAAAGCGGCACACTGCAGAACACCAGCAGCTATAGAGGAACTACAAATCCTAGCAATAATACATTAAACACCCTGTATAATGTATTATTGCTGGGATTTGTAGTTCCCCTATAACTGGTCAGTGGTAATCTGCATTGCGCAGTATAATCATTATACAGCGCAATGGAGAATACCACCAGTTATAGAGGAACTACAAATCCCAGCAATAATACATTATATACAACGCAATGCAGAATAACGCCAGCTACAGAGGACTACAAATCCCAGCAATAGTACATTATATACAACACAATGCAGAATACCAGCAATTAGAGAGGACTACAAATCCCAGCAATAGTAAATTATAGTATAATGTACTATTGCTGCATTCCTCTATAGCTGCTGGTATTCTGCACTGCGCCGCTGTATAATGTACTACAGTATATTGCACAACACACTCTTTTTTTTACTGCCACCGCACCATGCTTGCTCCCGTGATGGACTACAATCTCAATACAAATTAGTAGTCTATCACTGGAGCCTTTTTTTAAAAAAATCCGATTAACCGATTAATTGAACTTGATAATCGGCTAACGAATCGATTATTAAAATAATAGTTAGCTGCAGCCCTAGATGACTGCAAGATCACAAGCAGGGTCTGACAGGGAAGAGGATTAACAGCCATTGCAGATTATATGCTTGCCTGTTACTGACTGATACTGACACAGTGCAGCTCCTTGAGTGTGCATGGTATGCCCAGGTTGGCTGGCGGCACCTCAGTAATATGAAACTGTGTGAATGAAGAATGGTACTATGTCACTTTTCAGGTTGTTTTTTAGCTAGTGTGTTTCAGTGATCTACATCCTCTCCATCAGGGCTAAAAATTGGGAAAGTAAAACCACTCACAGAATTAACAGAACATTTTTCAAAATCATATTCAATAAATGCCATCTTCCAGTTGTTACCGATCTGTTGCTGCATGAGCAGTAAAGGTAATGAACATTTTTGTTAATAGCAAGGATGCTTGCTGCTAGAATCAAAGAACATGCAAAATGAATAATCTAAAACAACCTGATGTTAAATATAAACTAAATGTAATTAGAGATGCTCTTTTAACATGTACAGCATGTAAAACATGAAAAACCTACGTAGGTAACATGTATTACCACCAAAATATACATCAACAGTTGATTGTCTTCTGTTTATTACTCTAAAGTTGTATATAACATGTATATTTCTTTGTTTTACACAGAAATCAGTTGCGACAAACCAAAGATTGATCACGGGAGCGTGACTGGGCCTAAACTTCTTTATAAGGACAGAGAAACCACTGAATATTCATGTGATCCTGGATATAAACCATCTTCACTTCCTGGACTTACATGCACTAAAAATGACTGGAGCCCCATGCCTTTATGTGAAGGTTGGTTTAGAAATAATTTGACTAATTATATTATTCAGAAGTTTGGAAAAGTCACCTATTCTGATTGTCCATATTCCCCATAAGCGACCAAGTTATTGATAAGATACTGACTTTCAGTCTCACTAATGTGCCACACTAAATCATGTTGTGTAGGATATTCAAAAGGCTTTATTTGCCTAAAAAACAGTCAGCTAGTCAGGAAGGATATGAGTGATATTGTTTAGTAACTGAAACTTAACTAGCACTTATACTGTAGCTATTCCAACCTCAGTTAAACTGTGCACTGATTTGTAGGGAATAGACTTGTGCGCCGTCAAAAAATGTGTTCCGTTTCGGAATATCCGTTATTTCGTATTTCGTAATTCGTATCCGAAACTCAATTCGGATTCGTACGAAATACGAATTTTCGTTAGTTTCGGCACATTTTCGTAACTTTACGAACATTCGTTATGATGAAGTTAAAAAGCAAAAATACCTTTGTTAATATTGGAGTCGATGTGGTAATTGTTTTTTTATCCGAAATATGAATTCCGTTAACGGATTCCGGATCCGAATTTCGTATTTCAGATTAAAAAAAACTACCATCAACTCCAATATAAATGTACTTTGCTTTTTAACTTCAATATAACGAATGTTCGTAACGGAACGAAAATACGTCAACGGAATTTCGTATTTCCTGCCTGTATAGTAATGCAACTCTCAGCAGCAGAAGAGAAAACCTCTGATTGGTCAACCAAAACGAAATACGGATTCCGTATCCGAATTTTGTATTTCGGACTTAAAAAAAACTACCATCAACTCCAATATAAATATACTTTGCTTTTTAACTTCAATATAACGAATGTTCGTAACGGAACGAAAATACATCAACGGAATTTTGTATTTCCTGCCTGTGTATTATAATGCAACCCTCAGCAGCAGCGGATCCATATTTTGGATTAAAAAAAAAATCTTGTCATGTTGTTCAACCTCATTTGCAGGGGTAAAAATTAGTTCCTGTTTCAAAGAAATTCGGATCCGAAATTCGTGAACGGAATTTCGTATTTCGGATATAATTCGGAAACTGCAATTCGGATTTTGGATGCTTCCAAATTTACGAATTTCAGGAAAATTCGTACGAATTTCGATATGTAACGAAACAAATCGCGAATGTCTAGTAGGTGAAGCACATTGGCTTAGCAGTTAACACCTCTGCCTTGGAGCACTGGGTCCCCAGTTCAAATCTTGGTCAGGACACTATCTGTATGGGGTTTGCATGTTCTCTCTGTGCTTGTGTGGACTTCCTCCTCCACTCCAAAGACATGCTGGTAGGTTAATTATCTCCTATCTAAATTGGTTCTAATATGTATGCAAGATAAGGATCATAGATTGTAAGGCAGGGACTGATGAGCAAGCAACTATTTTTTTTAAATAATAGATTTTTATTAAAGGTTTCTAACATCTGCAACACATACATTGATGATTACTTTCTATCATGTATACTCAATTACAATAGTAGTAACAATGAGACGTATACAGCATTGTCTAAGGAAATTTAAAATGATTCCGATTCAATTGTACACATGTAGTAAACGATTGGGCTCACTAGAACCAAACTATAACCAAGCTTTCAACTTAAGTACTGTAAATCGGGAGTTGATATAATGTTCAACACTTACCAAATTAGAATGTATGTTGTTGCAGAAAGGAGTACTAAAGGGAAGTACTATGGGTAGGGCAAGGATGGAAGGTTGGAGGAGTATGGGAAGAGAAGAGAGAGCAAGACAGGTAAGGGAGGACAGGGGATAAAAAGGTAGGAAGGACAGTAGAGAGGAGCCATGGATGCTCATTCCGTTATATCAAGGCACATTATAAAACATAGTAATGTCAAACTATAAGTTTACTTTAATTATCTAATTTGGAAAATTGGATCCACGTGTCCCATCTTTTGTGGAACAATTTCCCTGAATTCAATCTATATGCTATTAACCTTTCATAATGACAATTTGAGGACACTCTATGGACAATATCCGAAATGCTCGGAATAGTAGAGGATTTCCAATTTAGGGCTATGAGGATTCTGGCTGAGAATAAAATATGCATAACCACTGATCTGTACTTGAGGGGATACTTATCAATATTGATACTTAATAGCGCTATCTCAGGTGACAGCAGGGAATCGATTTTTGTATATTCAATCAAGAGGTCAGATACTGAGCTCCACAAGACTGTAAGTCCATTACAGGACCAAAATATATGGGATAAGGTGCCTATTTGGCCGCAATTACGCCAGCACAGAGGCGAGGATGTTGGGTAAATTTTAGATAGTCTATATGGGGTGAGATACCATCTGGTGAGTATCTTCTGGGCATTATCCCAATGATCTATACACCATCAATGAGATGAATTGTCTTTAATTGCTACTTCCCATTGTCGGGCTGATACATTCAATTTTAGATCAGCTTCCCATTTGAGCATATGTGAAGTTTTACTAAAACTCAGATCATCTTGCAGGATAGCATAGAATTTAGATGTCCCCCCCCCCTACGAAGCCTATTAGAATTAAATATATCCCACGCTCCGGAATGGATGGAAAGGGATTTGTTGTTGTTAGTCTTCTGTAAATGGGAGATCTGCAAAAGGCGATATTGGTCCATAGGATGGGAGAGGGAGTGCAAGGAAGGCAAATTGCAAAGTCCCTTTTCCTTCCATGAAGAGAGATTTAGGTGTGGTATGAGGATCTCATATGAAGTAAGTGGGACTGGTATATTCGTTGTAGGCGAGTGTGAAAAGGATTTAGTAATTAGGTACTGCCAGGCCTTCAGGGAGGACAAAAGAGAAGGTTATGCACTGGGTAGGAGTGATCTATTTAAGGAGTGTGCAATCAACCAAGCTGGAAGATCTCCACTATTAATAAATTGTTGTTCCATATTGGACCATAGATTATTCGGTGATGGGTGCAACTAGACACAAAGTTGGTCCAGCAGTGAAGCATAATAATAATGCTTTAGATTTGGGAGTCCCATCCCCCCTCTACGTTTGTGTCGCCACATAGTCATGTGTTGCACTCTGCTTTTCTTGCCTTGCCACACATATTCGTCAAGGATACGCTGCATCTGTTGGAAAAAGGATGAGGGAAGTACTATTGGAATGGTACGGAAAAAGTATAAAATTTTGGGAAGTACGAACATTTTGAAGGACGAGATCCTGCCTATCCATGACAACTCGAACTTAGCTATACGGGCCAAGTCAGATTTCACACACTCTAGAAGGGGTAAGAAGTTACTCTTAAAAGTATGATGGGATGGGGACGTGAGTTTTATACCCAGATATGGAATCTGTGACTTAGCCCATGTGTACGGATATATTGCCTGCATAGTACTCAAAACGGCTTTTTTTATATTAATCAGCATTACCAGAGATTTCCCAGTATTGACTTTGTAGTATGATAAATCACCAAACATTTGTAATGTATCTTGCACCTCGGCCAGTGAAGAAGCCGGCTCTGACAGTGTGAGGATGATATCATCCGCGAAAAGGCCAATTTTGTGGAGATGTGATCCTATTCTAATCCCTGATATTAGAGGATTATTTCTAATAGACATTGCTAAGGGTTCCATAATAAGGGAAAAGATAATTGGCGAAAGTGGGCAGCCTTGTCTCGTTCCATTTGTTATGGTGAATGGGGTGGATAGCAAATTGGATGAGTAAACCTGGGCTGATGGCTTGGTATCATTCAAACCCTGCAGGACCTCCGGCTCTAGTTTAGGAAGGTTTAAAGATTGTAAGAATCTCTCTATTGCGACTAAGTTTGGTTGGGTAATAGCAGAGTCCTCTTTCAGATTATAAAGTGAAGAGTAGTAAGATTGGAAAGCCTCGGCTATATCTCTAGGGTTGTATAATTTCTGCCTAGTACGTGGGTGTACTATGCAGGCTATTCTGGATTTTGTTTTTTGAAATTTAATTTTATTAGCTAATAACTTACTAGCCTTATTTCCCTGATGGTAATAGGTAGCATTAAGTCTAGTTAACTGCCATGTATGATTAGTGAGGAGTAGGTCCTGCAAATCTTTCCTAGCCTCCATTAATTCTACAAGGACGCACGCATCCAAAGAATTTTTATGAGCCATTTCTAGTGATTTAATACGTTTGGTTAGGGTATCAAACTGCTGCGTCCTTCTTCTTTTCTCCCTGGCACCCAATTGGATCTGGACCCCACGGATAAATGCTTTATGAGCATTCCATACTACAAATGCATCATCAGTGGAGTGTTCGTTGATCATAAAATATTCCTTCAGCCGTGCCTCTATGAAGGATCCATGAGTTTTAGAGAAAAATAAAGATGTATTGTTTCTCCATAGCGGAGTGGTCGATAAATGGCCTCGATCTGCAATTGTGAGGGTAATAGGAGCATGGTCTGACCATGAGATATTATGGATCTGTGCGGCTTTCACTTTTTGTAGTAGCCATTTGTCTACCAGGAATAGGTCGATTCTTGAATATGATGCGTGAGGTGTAGAAAAAAAAGAGTAGTCTTTTTCGGATGGATGTAGACACCTCCAGGCGTCATAAAGTTCTTCCCTGAGTATCACTTTAGACAAGAATGGTCTCCGAGATGTTTTAGGATTTGATACATCCATAGAAGCGTCTAGAATGGCATTAAAATCACCACATATAAGAAGATGTCCCTGTCGTATCGTATTGGTTCTGGAAATTAGCTTTTTGAGAAATGGTACCTGTTGTGCGTTAGGTGCGTACACATTCACTATAGTATAAGTAGTAGAGTTAATATCACAAATCAAAATAAGATACCGACCATTCGGATCCGATTCAACAGATCTAAGTGTAAAGGAAACTGAATCCTTAATGGCTATCAGTACTCCTCCCTTTTTTTTTTGAGCGTTGGAAAAATAGATATGAGGAAAATTTTTATGACGAAGAACAGGGGGGTTCTTTGTAGTGAAATGGGTCTCCTGAATACAGAGTATGTCACTGGACCAACGAAGGGATTCCTCCCAGAG